ACAACAATTGCGATTGAATAGACTAATTACAAAAAAAAAAAAAAAAAAAAATTAATAATTTGTATAACTGTATCTAACAACAATTATATAAAATCGTAATTAAAATATATATATTATATATATATATATATATATATATATATATATATATATCTAATATTTGGTTAATACACATTTATTTCATTAGAATAGAATGTAAAAAGATAAATTTTTTTTTAAAAAATATAAAAGATGGTCGAACAATTTTTATTTTGCCGTCAGTTACAGATTTTTCTTTATGGCATGTAGAAAATATGCTTACGTGAATGTGTAAAAAGATTGTGTGAATACACAATTCTTTTTACACATTGGTGATGTGACAATGTATATTTATAAATCATAAAAGATGGTATATTTTACACATTTTTTTTTTTTTAATAAATTGCTGGAGATGCTCTTACTCCACTTAATCAAAAATTTTTTTTTTCTTTGGATTATTATTGTAAATTCAAAAGCTTTTTCAGTTTTCCTTCTTTTTTTTCGCATTACATTACTTTATACCGACTTCATCAAATATAATTAAAATTTTATCAGAATAAAATTTTATAATTTAAAGTAGGGACGATGGTGACGTTTTTGTATACAGTTGTAATCGGCGTGATTTACGTTTTGAAGAGATAATAAAAGAGGAGAAAAAAGAAAAGATTAAAAAATAATTTTTATAAAAATAAACGACATCTCCTTAATGGATTTATAATTATAAAAATTAAAATAAATAAAGAGGGGAACCTTTTAATACTCCTCCTTATAAAATTTTATTTAGTTGGAAAAAAAGCATTAAATTTGGGTACATCCCAAACAGTAGCGAGGGTAAGGATATCTCTCTCCCGGTCAAAATGTAGTTGGTGGGTCTGGCGCTATCACGTGACCTTGGCACGAGGAATGTCTCATAAGGTGGCACCATATCAGGGGACACATGGCCACGTACACCTTCATTCCGCAATCCGACAAAAACAGATCAGGCTTGGGGCTCGCCGTACAAGAAAAATCTGAATGTGAAGGTGTACCACCTCCCACGTGTCGTCCCTACAGTTGACCTCGGACCATGCTTGTCCTCCACGGTACACGTGTCCCCTTTTTTAATCACTTGTCGTTGACACATCATATCTCCTTCCACCTGCCATTTTATGCGTGGCAGGATTTGCATGTACTATCTCACTGTCTTGCCTCGGGATTCGCATGTCTTTGTCCCTCCTCCTTTATCTTTATCTTTATCTCTCTTTCTTTTTCATTTTATTTTATTTATTTTCCTTTATTTTTTCATCGCCACTTTGATATTATCACTATCAAATTCTATAGCGTACGATTCAGAAGATCGTAAACTGGGCTATCAGTGGATAATTGTCGTCCATTTAGTAGAACAATTCTTGAAGTAGATACAGAAGGAATACAGGTGTGGTGGCGGGTGTTGCTTGCCTTGTATTACAATTCTTACCCTATTCAGATATAGCATTCTCTGCTTCTTTCTTCTTTCGGAAGGCTAATGCTTTAAGTAATCATTCTTATCCTATTCGGATATAATATCATCTATTTTTTTTTATTTTTTCGAATAAATCAGCTATTCTATTATTATTCTAAAATTTTGCTAAGTTCACAATGAACACTTTAAAATGTGTTATATCGTAAAAGAGTATTTAAATTTACATATATCACATCACTTCTTCCGGGGCAATGTAAAGTCATAACACTTTTAATTAACAGTGTGATAGTTCATTCAGTGTCTGGCATTCCTATCATACTTAATTATTATTTTTGTTTATTATTTTTAAAAATAATAATAAAAATTTGTTTGATCAATTTTGGAAAGGAACTTTCTATATATATATATATATATGATATGATATAAGAAAATAATAATTTTTTGTTTTTAGTTGGTCAAAGATTTATAATTACTAATTACATAAACCAACCACAAAATGAAAAAAAGATTTGTTATGGATATATCCGAATATCACTTTCAACATCTAGCGAATAGTTACCGAGGGAGTGGAAGATGTTGCCATTCCATTATTTATGGAAGACTATTCAAAGTCCTCGGTTCTTAGGTAAAGGAGGATTAAGTGATTGATAATGAAAGAGTGACCCAAAAATAAAAAAATTTAAATAATAATAATAATAATGATGATGATAATAATAATAATAACCTCCCTTATCTTTGCACATTACCAGAGATTATGTGATAAGGCTCTAAATTATGGCTAGTCCATTTTTGGCCAATAAACGTTTGTGGGTGAGCTTCACATATATATATATATACTATTACACCTCTGGGGATATTTATCCTCTCTATCATGATAGCAACATCTTTATATTGGGCTGTCTATTTTAGTGGGATTTGGAAAATCTAGTCACATGTCAACTGAAAGTGAAAGCTAATCTCCATTTAAAATAAATTTTAACCTCATTACACATTTTTAGTACTTTTATGTTTACTCAAATGTTTCTTAGGTGTTTGGACTTGGTAGAATTGGTAAGGAAACAGTTTAGGGTGTCATATGTCCCAAGTTCGAGTCCGTTCATTTTTATTATATTCGTTGACTGAAATTAGTATTGAGGTGTGGAGCCGTCGATAGCATTTCAGATTTGTAGTCTAGGATGGACCCCTTCGGAGGGTCATGCCTAGGTGAGTTCCTGGTGCAAACAAAAAAAAAAAAAAAAAAAAAATATTTCTTAGATTAGGAACAGGGTTGTATTAGAGGGGATTTGGATCCGTTAATCAGCTTTAAAAAATTGAGCTCATGTCACGGGTTTGAGAACTGCTACGGTTCAATTGGACCCCACAATCAAGAGGGTGTTTGGACAATTGTGGAAAAAATTGGAAACCTTGAATTTTTCCCAAATGTGGCTCAAATTCACTTCGTGATAGCATTTTTTTGTTATTAATAAATTAGTATGTATCATTATCAATCACGTAGCAACGTAAGCAAAGAAGGCTTTCTTTGGGAGAGTTAAATCAACTCATGACTCACAAAGAAAAAAGAAAAGAAAACCTACTTCTTGATTTTGTAGTTATAATAAATAAAAAAAAGTAGACACTTGGAATTTTTTATGAAAATTGGCCCACCTACAAAATTTTATATGTAATTTCTCTATTTAATCAATATATTTTGAATTTTTAAAAAAGAGGTACAAATTGTCATTATTAGTTAATTTTCAAAAGAGAATGAAGCCTCTTCAACTTGATACCGAAAAGTATAAGGTCTCTCTTAGCCTAATATTGATTCCAAGGTTTTAGTTTTGGAAACTACTTTGAAAGATGCCCTTATATATTAGTATGTTAAACACTTGATTAATAGTATTTCATAATGTGGTAAAAGACAAGACGTACTATGAATTGACTTTTACATATACAACATAGTTGAACAGAGATTCTTATTTTAGTAGTAGTAATAGAAATCAATAAGATTCGTTAGCAATAACAAAAGTAGTGTATACACCATCTTTAAAATGGTGTAATAAGAATATTAGAAACAGAATATCGTTCATGCTTGGTACACTCATAAAATCCAATCCTTCCACTACCGTCAATTATTGAATATCAAGAGTGGGCAATGATATTTACAATCTGATGTGCGCGAGTAATTATAGAAGCAGGACAAATATAGGAAATTTAACCTAAAAATGCTTGAAATGTCTTGTCACGTCCTCCTTCAATAATACACAAATAGGTACTACGAACTATATACTTAATTAGGATTTATGCTAAAGTTAAGGGGTTCAGATAAAATAGGACATATGTTGAAGTGACAAAAGCAATTGATGCTCTAACATGTTTGATGGATTGCCACCGTTGAATGTCACGATAAAAAATATATATATAGTTTAATGTGTGTGTCCATACATAACCAACATATATATATATATATATATATATAGATTCTATATTCTCATTCATTTGGGTAGGCATGTACCTTCTGTAGGCCTGGTTGCTTTCCTAACAGAAAAGTTGAAATTTTTTGTCTATGTATGTTATATATTGAGTTGGCTTATTTTGTCAATCCTTGTTATTTATTATAAAGGAATAGGAAGGACTCAAGTTTAGACCTTTGGGATTGAATTTTTGTAATGTTTAAGTAAGTCTCTGATAGTAACAAAATTTAAACACGGTCAATGAGAGAACATTGCATCGAGTGGTGTTAATAGCAATGAGGATGGTTTACAAGTTTTAGATAGAGTAGGGGATAAGTTATTTTAGATGAAATTTAGTATAGTTTATGGGTTTGTATAAGTAACTTAGTATGTAAAGCTTGGAATATATACAACTTCATGTTTAATAATGTGACAGATATATTTAAGGTTGTCTGTTTTGGAAGATTAGAGTAGGAATTTGACGGTAATTAGTCTGCAACATCTTTTTGTTTGTCAATTTGTGGAAAGAAGAAAGTTGCGAGTGTGTGGACTATTTGGGTGAGGGGTCCATACCCTTATCTAAATGACAATGGACCCAAAAGATGGTGGGTCATATCAACCTAGACCTCTGGTGTGACGTGTTGATGGTGCCAATCTTACTTGTCTCATCCGTTAGATTTTAGAGCTGGGGTTTAAGAGACAGAGCTGGACAGATTAACGATCAGCCCATTTGGAAGGTTTTAACTCAGTATTGGGTTTGGCCCAATTTCAGTAACAACTACCAAGAAATAAAAAGATTAGCAACAAGTAATTCAAAACGGGTTGAAGAATTTCAGTTGTTCGACTGAAGGCCCACTACGGGGCCTTAGTTGGGTCGTGAATTCTGAAGCTAGGTGGGCTTGAGCCTTGATGTGGAAGGATATGCAGAATAGATACATAGTATATTAGTTAGGTTCAGTACTGTTGATTCGTTGCAAACATAAACTAGTAGGTAGACCGGGGACATTATAAACTTATTTATACTACATTATTGTTGATCTACTACTGCTACATAACCGCTGTTTTTTTCCAAGTCAAAGCCACCCCTCTTTAATTTCTTCACCCATCCATGATCACCACCTTAGCTTGGCTGGGAAGTACTGTAAATGCCAAACAACGGTAATTAGGAAACTACTACTACTACTACTACTATTAATTTACTGTTGTTGAGGAGAGGCAATCGATTACAAACCTTTTCGATGAGGGACAGATAATAAGGCTTCACTTCTTCCTGGTTAATCCGAACTTTACTTTTGCTGTAAAGATCGTATTTGCTTCACCACCACAAATTAATGTACACACATAAGCTCAATCAACGTAGTTCGTAGTGTATATATATAATTTATGGGAAGATTTTAGTAGAAAAGTACATACTTGAACACATGAAGCCACTTCAGCATCTCCTTGTCCTCATCATTCATCAAATACGTATAAGCGCCAACTCGGTGCAATGCTGTCCATAATCCATCAAACAAACCATACTATAAATAAATGGTTTTTTAATTTTACAAATATTGAGATCGAGTTACACAAAGATTTATACTATATATAGAAAACGGTACTAGCTAGGTGGGCTGGTGTAGAGGCGACTCACCGTAGAAGGAATGGAACCTGATGATGAAGAGACCAGCTGGTGGGAGGGTGGTGTTATTACCCTTAGCCACCTGTCAAAATTGTTTATTTGTCAACATATTATAGGAAAACAATATATATAGTATAGTAATATTATAATTTGCCGCATGGGGCACTGACGTGGAAGAGTGATGTGGCATACCAAGTACATGTACTCATCATGGCCCCAGGACATAGTGACTTTATCAAGTCCACAGTTCTCAGTATAAATACCCAACTTGGTGTTGAAATTGAGGTTGGTAGAGTCTGGGTTGTCCTTAAAAAACTGCCAATAAAGAGGTTCATAATTAATTAGTGGAATGAATACATAAGATTATTTTAGTAGTCATGTATGTACAAATTAAAATACCTGGTGATGAACAATGCATTCATTAAAAGCACATCCCAGTGGAAATGTGTCACCTGATCGATAAAATGTTGTTTTTAACGTTAGACCACCATCCTCATGAATTAATTGAGTAATTTTATAACATTATTACATTGGAATTAAAAGAAAATACATACCCACAACACACCACTGGGGTTGCTCACCAAATGCACGATGCAGCATAACCTTCCCTAAATCTGCAGTGCATGTGTATTGATGATGATATATGGTATGATGTGATGATGGAATCGAATACACACTACTTAAAATATATAAGAATGTAGGTACGTACCATGGATGAGTGCAGTGAGATGCAGCCAATCTTGATGTGGGTAGTCTCTTCTGATGGCTTCTGCTGTCTGGAGGAGATGTTCAATCTGAGGCTCATCCAGGTCCGGATCGCTCTCATCCACGAACTCGTTCAGGAGTTCACAGCATTCCCATATGCTCATCACAGACTTGTCCAGTTTTCCATAGTACTCTTTCTTTTTCTCAGCCTGATTGTCACGTCAGTAAATCTAATTAATTTTAATCATTAATAAGCTTTAACAAATTTTGGTAGCTCTAGGTGATTTGATTGGAACCAGAATGGGACTTTCTGCTTCAGACACGCAAAAGGCTGACTTTGGGGATGGGCGTGTCTGTCTTTATTGTTAGTTCACGTATTTAACCTACGGTTAGCATGCATGCAAATCTTATTTGTTTTCTTCTTAACCTACTTAATCATGATAAACCTGAATTTATGATGATGATGATGATGGTACCACACTATAAATGAAATCTAAACTTTTTTTTTTAAATATATATATATATATTCTTATTTTTAAAAGTTAATGTACACTAAACTTTACCAAGAGTAATGCTTCAAAAAAAAAAAAAAAAAACAAATAATTTCGATCTTGTGCTACTCTAATTAATTATCGCTAATAAATAATTAATTATTAATGTTCAACAAAAATGTTTGTGAGTATGGAAAGAAAATATAATTCTCTCAAAATATTTATTTTCAGGGGACTACATATATAGTATAATAATCTATATACATATAAATTAGTGTTTATGGAGTATATATAAAAAGAGAAACATAGGTGAATATATATAGAAAAAAAAAAAAAATTTAGTGGGACATTTTTAAGCATTCTAAAAAATATATACATATTATAGAAAAATATATATAAAAAATAAGGAAAGAAAAAATTCTAGAGGGGGGCCGGGTCCTACACTGCCTCCTTTCCTGATCTCAATGATTGTTATATTAAAATACTGGAGTCCTCCCATTAATAATGTCCAACAGGACTCCTATCGTTATTCCATAAGAATGGAATTTCTTTCCTACTGTGAGTGTGTATCACAATATATAATAATCACATTAGTCGATAAGAAAAATGTTAATTTAATTAGAATGAGTTGTTAAGAGTAAATAAATGCTTACGAATTCATATGTCTGGTACATATGATTTTTCTTGTAGAATTCCTCGACGATGGCTTTTCTTTGGCTCTCTTTATCGTAATCCCTGGTACCCATTGAAACAGATATATTTGTTGTACATATCGTAATTACAACATTATACTGTATATGTTTATAGAGATATTTAAAGAAGCAAGAAACCTGAAGGAATGTCCGAAGGCGTTGCTTTCTGGGACGACAAAGTCTCCATCAAACTTCAGGTCATGATTTTCTTGTTCCTTCACAACGTTGTCGTTGCTGGTGGTATTGCTGTTGCTGTTGTTATCGTTGCTATTGTCATTGCCATTGCCATCATTGTTAAGAACTGGTTCTGCATATAGTAGCAATTAACAACTAAGTTATATATACAAACAAGAAAAGCTTTATATATATATATATATATTTATACACATACGTACCTATATGATAAAACAAGAAAATACATATAAGAATTGTACCAGGAACGATCACAGTCATGGTGGTAGAGACAAAATGTTAGCACCAAGATAGTGAAAGTGAGGGCGAGAGAGTGAAAGTGAGGCGATGATGGGAAAAGGGTGCGGTGAGTGCACACAAAGATGGGACTATTTATAGGCAGCTAATTCTTAGTGGATGGACTTCTAACATAAAGGCCCCGTAACATACGCCCAAATTACAACTCAGGCCAATTATACTTCATTCCCAAAGAGGACAATTTGCATTGACCAAAAAGAACGAGTTAATTTTTTATTTTTTTTTCATTGCAATAATGTTAGGCGTTAGATGTTAGGAGTTAGTGGTTGGAGGAAGGGAATGAAATGGTGCAATTGTAGAAAACACTTCTACTATCAGTGTGAATAGATTTGTTTTGTTTTGTTTACACTTTATTTTTTATTTTTATCTTTATTTTATTTTTATTTTTATTTTTATTTTTTTAATATTTTTATCTTTATTTGTCCATTACCCACGTCCTCTAATAATGTCCTTTTAGATCATTTTACAATTTTTTTTTTTATTTTTTATATATTTTATAAAATGATTCAGTAAGGGTAATTTAATCAACTTAAAATTTAAACTTGTCAGAAGGACCTATTTGCACCAAATTAAAACTTTAGGTGTGTTTTTTTTAATGTGAGGGTGTCTTCCAATAGTGTCATTTTCAGTCATTTTACAAAATTATTTATTTTTATATTTTTTATAAAATGGTTAAGTAAGGATAATCTAATCAACTTAGAGTTTAAATTTGTCAAAAGAATTATTTGTACCAAATTAAAACTTTAAGGGTATTTTTTTTTACACTTAACCCATATATATATATATATATTTATTTCAATTACCTGGTATTGTTGAATCCAACATTTCATAAGATGCTTTTGTTTTAGAAATTTTTTAATACATTTAGGTTCCGTTTGTTTGGACGTAAAATATTTTTCAGAAAATATTTTTTAAAATTTTCTTTGGTTGTAGTAAAATATTTACGAAAAAAATATTAAAATTTAACAAAAATCATTTATTCATAAATTTTTGACAAGTTATTTTATATGCCTCGTTCGATGGACTCAACTTCAATCTCAACGTAGTCCTTTGCCAAATATTGACAAAGTAAAAATAAAAAAATATTTTAGATGAAAAAAAAAAATTTTAAAAAGAATATTTTAGGTCGAAAGTACTATATATATAAATAACTATATTATTGATAGTTATTGGAATAATCATAAATAATAATATTATATATATGTATATATGTATATTCATTTGATTGATATGTATATATTAGAGCATTTTCAATGCTCTTTCATTTTGAGCTCTCAAACTCATAATTTGAGAGATGGGTAAAAAAAGCTACTCCAATGACCTTTCATTTGGCCTCTCAAAATTTAAAAATCTCAAAATTTATCTCAAATATAAGAGCTACCAAATTTTTTTGCCAGCTCTCTAACACCAACCCCCCCCCCCCCCCCCCCCACACACATATAATTTCAACCCAAATTTGTCTATATATATATATATATATAAAAGATCATAAAAAATTTCACCAAATAATATATATTTTGCAAAACAAGAATTACAGACCTTGATTAGTTGATTTAGGAAAAAAATTAAAACAAAACCTATACATACAATTTAGCAATTGCAGAGAGAAAGAGAGGCCAAGCTTGAGAGTTGAGAGAGCGCTGAAGCTTGCGAATGACGAACCCGAACTGGAACAACAGGCGATGTAAATTGAAATATATGGGTTTTTGAACAATCTGAAATGATATGCCGATATGGGTTTTGATCTTTTGATTCTTGCAGACAGATAGATAAATTGAAATATATGGGTTTTCAACTTCTGATTCTTGTAGATTTTCTAGTTTGCAATTGTAGAGAGAGAGATAGAGAGAGAGGGGGAGTTTAAATACTGAGGGAGATCCCATTCTAGAATGATCCTCTTTGCCATGGGTGAGTCTCTTACAGTGAAGAAACTAAGCCTTTGTTTCACTAAATCCATGGTGCGATGCAACAACCTTGTTTGTGTTTGTTTTTTGTTTTTGAAGGCTCTTTCATTGCGATCCGTCCAGATCTGATTAACAAAGGTGGAGAGGACAAGCTTGTTGATCGAGTTTTGCAGGTTTCGCCCCCCTCCGTCTATATGATGCCCAATCAATGAGATCTTCCCAAGAAGAGGGCAGGGCACGAATTCGACATAAAGTGTGCAAAAATCTCCAAATTGGGTTGATGAAAGCGCAGGAAAAGAAGATGTGATCATGGGTTTCATCAGCAGAGTAGCAAAAAGGGCATAATCTAGATCCGGTGAAAGATCGCATACATTTTCTATCATACGTGGAGAGGCGATTCGGAATAGCCAGCCAAAGTGTGACTCTGCAGTGCGGAATAGAGAACGAATGCCATACTAGGTGTTACCATTGCCTTGGTTGGTGGTGAGGTGCAAGCCAATCAATGGTATGCCTGAGAGAGAAGTCACCCGAAGGTGAAGGGATCCAGATGGTGGCATCCGGAGAGGGAGATGGAGGGTTGATCAGAAGAAGGTTCTGGAATTGCAAGGTAAGTAAAGGTGGAAAATTCTAGCCCTTGTTCCCAATTAGTGAGGATAGACGCTGTCCCGGCATAACAAACGAGTTGTGTAATAGGTCAGGGGAGGTTTGGTAGGCGAGTGGCCCATTAGGAAGCCAGTTATCCTCCCTAAAGTAAGTTCGATTTCCATCTCCTACCTTCATTCTAATCATAGAATAAGTAGTACCTCGAAGCTGCATAAGCTTTTTCCAGTTACTTGAACATGCATGTGGAGTATTCATAGTCCAGAAACATCTTCCTCGAAAGAGTTGTGTCCTAACCCATTGAGTCCACAAATTATCCTTGCATTCAGACACGACATTCCAAAGAAGTTTAAGACAAGCAGTATTGCTGTAGACCTTAAGGTTTCGAAACCCCAAACCCCTACAGTTTTTGGGCTGACAAACAGTATGCTAAACAATTTTTGCCCCTGTAAATGAGAGCTCATTCCTTTTCCATAGGAAGTTCCTTAGAAACCCATTAATCTCAGATAAAATTGACTTAGGCAAGATGAAGATGTATAGCCAGTAGTTGATCATGCTGTAAAGCACCGAATGGATTAGTTGAATTCTGCCCGCATAGGAGAGAAAGCATGATGACCAATGAGTGATTCTTCTAGTAACCTTTTCCACCAGGGGTCTACAGTCAGCTGTTGTAAGTGATGAAGAGATTAGGGGAACCCCAAGATATCTCATAGGCTGCTCCCCACATGCAAAACCCAATAAATTCTCAATTTCATTAGTAAGCTCAGAGCTGACTCCAAACACAAAGAAGTTGCTTTTCGAGTAGTTGATACAGAGCCCAGAGAGTAGAGTGAATTGGTCAAGAGCCCTCTTTAGTGTCCCCAATTGAGGCCAGGTCCCCATGTGAGAATAGAAGCAAGTTGTCTGAAAAAATGAGCTGAGAGATAGCCAAATTTCTGCATCTTGAGTGAAACTTAAAAAAGGGACTGTCAGCAATACATGTTTTTATGATAGATGTGAACACCTCCATCGCAACTACAAAGAGCCACGCGGGGGCGGGGGGGGGGGGGGGGGGGGGGGGGGGGATGAGGTCCCCTTGTCTTAATCCCTTCACCCCTGAGAAATGAACAGTAGTCATTTTGCGGAGAAGACTCTCAAAAGCTAATTTTCGCCTTATACTTGTTTATGTAACCAACACTAAATATAGCCTGTACAATTTCATCCCATTTAACAATGGCAACTGGCAAGAATCACATACCACATACATATCCATTTAATAACTAAATATATATACTGTAATAAATAAATCAGCACACACCCGTTTTATTCCTTTAATAACTAAATATGTATACTCAAATAAATAAACCAGCATACATATGCATATACTATATATATTAAAGTCAGTTACGATAAAATTACTGCTACCAGTACCGGGCTACCATTAACTTTTAATTGTTTTGATGTGGCAAAATATGAAACGTTGTTTTATTATTGTACCGTTACCAACTCCAGCTCTGGACAATTAAAGCACTCTGTTACGCCTTGTAGATAACAGCTCAAGCCGTCCGTATATTTCGCCTCCAAATAAAAAAATGTCAACGTTAGCCGGCTGTGACTGGACGCCGCGTCAGTAGGTCCCATATACCCTTCATAGCTACGTAAATTTCGAGCCGAATTAGATGTGATATACACGCAGAGCTGACTCATTACCATATCACCACATATTTCAGTACTCCCTATATAGCGCGTGCCTGGTACGGCTGATCAGGTTTGAGAGAAAGTTCAATGGAATGATGTATCGTAATACCACGCGCCTTTGCGATGGGTGTGTATATTGGCAATCACGTGTCTGCTAGTTTTGTAACGTTTTCTATGTTTAAAATAGTTGGATAACAATGATATTTTCAGTCAAGGACTCCAAACTTTCCAAATATCAAGGAAGGACTTCAATCATGCTGTCCCTATAAATACTTTGCGTCCATTTGGCTTTCACCGTCAACCATTGGCTAAAAGGAAATAAACACAAGCGGTTCTGTTTCTGTGATATTTCCTTTTAGTTCTTTCATTTCATTGTTTTGATCTTAAATCTTAATTGGTGTGAAGATGACCATCCTCATTGACCAACCTGAGAATGGTAATTATCATTTTGGTTTCAAGTTATATATATATATATAATATGTTTTTATTAATTATTGATTGGTTTTTCTCAATCAGTTTTACAAACAGAGGAGAGGAATGCTGTTTCTGATGATACGAATGAATTGATATTGGATGGAGGGTTTGTGGTGCCAAAAACCAAACCAAATGATGGATTTGAAGTGCCTGAAACCAACGCATTCGGCCAAGTATTCAGGTCTCCATCTTTTTAAGTACCGATTAATTTGATTCATAATCATACATTATATATATATATATATAGTTGATTAGTTTCCATTGAAAGAATCTGAACATATATTGAAAATGTTGGCAGGGACTATGATGCAAAAAGTGAAAGGCAAAAGAGGGTTGAGGAATTTTATAGGTTGCAACACATTAACCAAACATACGACTTTGTAAGTGCAATTTTGTTTTCCAATTTAATTACATGTCCAAATTAAAATTACCATAAAATGCCTAGTTTTTCAAATGAAAAGCCTATATATGTGTGTGTGTATATATATTGATAATGCAAAATGCAGGTGAAGAAAATGAGGGAAAATTATGGGAAGTTGGATAAAGTGGAGATGAGCATATGGGAATGTTGTGAACTTCTCAACAATATGGTGGACGAAAGCGATCCTGATTTGGATGAACCTCAGATTGAGCATTTGTTGCAGACAGCTGAAGCCATTAGAAAAGACCATCCTAATGAAGATTGGCTACACTTGACTGGCCTTATTCATGGTATAATATATATAAATATAGAACCAATTTTATGTTATACATACATGATTAAGCATTTTGTTTAATTTATAATTCTTTTGCATGGGTATTTTTCAGATCTTGGTAAAGTTCTTGCTCATCCTAGCTTTGGAGGGCTTCCTCAATGGGCTGTTGTTGGTGAGTATTCATTTAGTTTTGATCATAAAAAAATAATTTCATTACTAATTTTTATATCTTTTAAGTTAAAACCATGTGACATTGCAGGTGACACATTCCCTCTAGGATGTGCTTTTGATGAATCTAATGTTCATCATAAGGTACTTCTTCAAATTAACACTTAATCTATATTTGCATTTTGTATGCATGATTAGACTAGTCATTTAAATCTGATAAATTTCTAAATATATTTTTGTTGTAGTATTTCAAGGACAATCCGGATTCAAAAAATCCTGCTTACAATACTAAGAATGGAATTTATTCTGAAGGATGTGGACTTAATAATGTAATGATATCATGGGGGCATGATGACTATATGTACTTGGTATAAATCTTTAACACTTTGATCATTTTTTTATATTTTATTTTACCTATTATAATCACCATTAATTTTATTTTCAGAGATAATTTAAAGATATCATTGCATTTTTGAATTTGCAGGTGGCAAAGGAAAATGGAACCACTCTGCCTTCAGCTGGATTGTTCATCATCCGCTACCACTCATTTTACCGTAAGCTTTCAGTGTTAAAAACAATTTTTATAGAAAGAAAGAAAAAAAAAAAAAAAATGATGTTTTCTAAATATGAGAATGAGCATATTTAATTTTTTAAATGCATTTGACTAATTGATTTGGATTTATCATCTGCAGCTTTACACAAGTGTGGGGCTTATGAACACTTGATGAATGAGGAGGATACTGAGAATATGAAGTGGCTCAAGATATTCAAGTAATTAAGCTTTTTGTTTCTTCATGAATTCATATATATGTATATATGTGTGTGTTATAATATCATTATTAGAATTTAACAATTTGAATTATAATTCTTAAATTGTGTGCAGCAAATATGACCTTTACAGTAAGAGCAAAGTTCGCGTTGATGTTGAAAAGGTGAAGCCATACTATCTATCTCTTATTGAAAAGGTGAGTAATTCTGTAGTGTGGGGTATTCTTGTAATTTGATTTCTTTCTCTCTTGCTAAATTAGAAATTTTTTGTTGCAGTATTTTCCAGCAAAGCTCAGATGGTGAACCCTACATTTTGGGTGGTCATGAAAAGGCAATCAATTTGGCGTTTGGCTTCTTGCACTCATTCAATGGAAGTGTGTCTCAATCATCTAGTTTCTCCACAAATGTATTACAACAAAATTGAGTCTGTATTATTGTAATAGTATTTAATTTCATTGCTTTGGCATTCTTTCAGCTTTAGCTAACTGTATTGAGCTGAGAAAGCTCCTATGGTTTGCTTAAAAGTCTTAATAAAAGATGATCCAATTAATTTTATTATTATTATTATTATAACTGCAAAAAAACAAAATGAGATGATGAATTTGTTCATCAAAAATGCACATGGCTCCATCATCAAATGTATTAAATTTTAATACCAGATCATCACCTAAGGGGTGGTTCAGAATTACTAATGTTAATCAACTCTTTTGAATTTGAATCACTCTGATGATATAGTTTTCAAAAATCTGATTCCCATTTTGAGTCTTTTGGACCCCAGGTACTGAAATATCTTCTATCATGAAAATCTGGCACTGCTTCTCTTTGTTCCCAGAAGAAGAGAAGTGTTCCATAATTACCAACAGAATCGAAGAAATATGAACCCTTGCTCAGTGGAGTGGATTATCTTGTAGCAAGCGGGTCCATTGCTGGGCGATGATAATTTTGTTTGTCAAATCTTTCTTCAAATGGGGTGAACAAAATGCATTGTTTTGCTTCCCTGCGCGCCTTAAAGGGAAAAGCATAGAAAAAATGAGTTGCAAATCTTCCTCTTGAGATCCATCTTATAATCATAGAAGAAAGCTGCTCTAAAGCCTAGGTAATCACAACCTAAATAAGTCACACAATTTTTTTTTTCTTTTTAACACTTGGCAAGCATTCTCATTCTCAATATATGATGTCTGATTTTACTTATCCCGTGTATTGTGCTCCATATATAAAATCTTAATGCTTGAAAACAAACCACCCATTAATAGCAAACAATTGTATCAAAGAAGTTACAAGTTGCAACAACATATATATGGATGAGCGTCCAAAATTTTCATTACCATGAATTTTACGTTACATGAATGAGAGACCCATCTCTTTCTCTTACTATATGCATGCATGCCTCATTTATCTAAGCCACGGCATGGGTGGGTCAACTCAAATTTCTTTAGCTCTCCCAGCCTTAAGGCCTCGTTTGGATTGAGGGAATCGGAGAGATTTGGAGAGAAAAGAAAGGGAAGGATAGAGTTTAGTGTGTTTGGGTGGAGGAAATTGAGAAGAAAAGAAATGATTGGGAAGGATTTGGAGGGATAGGCTATCCCTCCAAATCCCTCCTGCACAGTGAAATCAAATCCCCTCAACTTTGAGAAGATTTGAGGGGAAATGAAGCAAGTGAAAGAGAGACAAAATTAGCCTCGTGTAGTTTCAGTTTGCAGTTGCATAGAGAGAGAGAGAGAGAGGGCAAGTTCAGAGTTGAGAACGAGAGACAGATGGAGGCTGAAATGATTTGCTTTCTTTATATGTATATATATATATATATATACACATACATACAAATATACATATATACACAAGCTTCTTTTACAAATTGGCAGTTGCAGAGAAAGACAACCAGCTGAAATATCGGCTATCGATTTCCACACTTCGTCGTCATCGACTTCTCCTTCTTTGTTTCGAGGAGAGCAAAGTAGCAGCCTTCGTAGCTTTTCTTCAGTCACATACATGGGTAAGCCCTGAACTCTTTATGAATTATGATTTCTGTAAGTTATCATCCAGCTGTCAATGACGACGAAGTGTGGAAGCTCTGATCTGAGTCGTCATCGACTTCTCCTTCTTTGTTGTCTCAAGATGGATTTTCGTTCTCCAAACTTTGGGGCTTTTCGAGCACTGGAGGGTCAAGATCGTCTAATAAGATGGATTTGAAGAAATCCAGAGAATAGAGAGATGGATATATATATATATATATATATATATATATATATATATGTATATGCCGATATATATAAATACATATATGTAGTTTGGTTTTGATTTTTGGAACATCTGATGATGGAAACTGATAGATATAGGTTTTGATCTTCTGATTGTTGTAGATTTTGTTGTATGCAGTTGGGGGGAGAGAGAGGATCTGTGAGAACGATGGAGGCGAATTAGGGAGGCTAAAATGATTTTGCCCTACTAAAAATACCAAAAACGGTAAAATGATAATTTTATTATTATCCTTTCCCTTCTTTTCTCTCCATTGTGCTATCCAAACAACAATATTACCAATTCTTTTCTTTTCTCTCCTATTTATCCAAATATGAATATAAATTATAACTATCCTGTAACACCCCCACATTTTCCCCGCATAAGTTGATCAGGCTTATACACGAAAAACGAGGGATATCAAAAACAATTGGCAATATACAAGCATGGAATACAAAATGATGGAAATAAAAGAATTTAGACAGGAAAGGAACATTAAATAATACAACATCCATCCATCCTTTATTTCATACAGTACTTCATTACAACTTGGAAATCCTACGTCAGGGATCCCTAAATATAACCCTGAGAGTTCAACGTCAAAAGTAATTAAAAACTGAAACTGAAGTATTACATAAAACTTCTACCCTGCACTGGATCGTAAGAGTAGATGAGTTCGGATGATGGTCCCACACTGCTAACCTCAGCCTTGAAACGGATACTGACCGTATCCTGAAATAACAACAATGGTGGGTCAACCCCACGAGCAAGTCCTCTCTACTATGACCCAAATCAGAGAATCAAATAAATTAATCATTATGAATCGGTTGAGTACTATATCTGTATACATCCTACGGGAACTATCCAATGTATAACATGACCTCAACCAGAATAGACGGTGATCACTTAGACTCACACTAGGTGGTTAAGTGTCGCCTTTCCCTACCCGGAAAATCAGCTATTATACATGGTGCACGGTACTGACAACACAGACTATAACGAACTACACAGTGATAACACCTCGCAAAGTACTGATGAATATACTGAGCATATAAATTAGGCAACACATGCCAACAATATTAATAAATATACCGAGAATGTCAATTAGGCAACACATGCCCATAATATTAAACCACATACCCCGACAGCCACACATCTGTCTATCGCAACGAATGCATAAGGTATAAATGAGTCTAAACTTATTAGTCAGCTCACATGGTTCTATATGGCAACACATCCATATAATATAAATGCGACATAATAAACAGTCCATTTATTCCCTGAAATGCACACAGCATAATAATCATGGTTTATATACGATTAACAGTATAAACATCCCATAAGATATCATGGATAATTTATCTGACTAAAACCATGGCCTTATTTAATTTATCAGTAATGGTTGATACCATTTAATAAGATAATAACACTATTTATATTTAACAATGTCGTTAAATAAATCACATTAGTATCTGTACTGTGAACGAGCCAATAAATGCTTAGAAAAGATTAATCGGTCATAAGAATAAGTAACGGGTGTTAAAATAATAATTTCGTGGCCCGTTAAACCCGTAATTACCAACACAGTACCTAAAAATCCAAGTTTAAGGTTCTGGAATTTACAAAACAGGCCCTAGGGGTATTTTGGTAATTTCCAGCAGCTGTAGGGACCACACACGCGCCCTCACGCGCCTCCCCACGCGCAGCCCAACCTTCCCCACTCTCCCACGCGCCTCCACGCGCGTCTGGCATTAGCCACGCGCTCCCACGCGCGTCTGGAGAGTCCCACGCGCGCGCACGCGCTGCCACGCGCGCGTTGATGGCTTCCTGCTGATGTGGCGTTCTCCGGTTGGTTGGCTGCATCATCTTTCCTACATGCGCGCCACACCGGATCATCTCACCCTATCTTCCCTCCATCCAACGCCCACAGATCCGGGTGTACCGCGGTATCATGGACCGCGATGCACCGGATCAATCAGACTCCACTAATGGCCAGGATGCGCGCGTACACCCTCCTATGGTGCGCCGCGTTGCACCGGATCACTCCGGTCGTCTCCCCCACTGCCGGCGACCGGAAAACTCGCCGGAAGGTCGCCGGAAATTGCAGAAAATGCCCGGAAAAATCTAGAAAATTCTAGAAAAATCCCTAAAGTCTTATTTAATTATTTTTAGCCATTATTAATTTCATAGGACATTAAATAAATATATACCATCCTATATAATTAAAATTCCATTAATTTAATAAAATAAAATTAATAATTTATTAACCTCCAAACCTTGGCTCTATGCATAAAAATAAGCTAAACAATTAATTTATTAATTCAAAGGGGAAAAATAGATAATAACTTGCCTTTTTGGATTTAAAATAAATCCGCCGGTCTGCGCGTAGTCGGGTAAAATCGCCTACACCGGTCCAAGCTTCTTTCTCTTTCTCTTTTCCTTTCACTCTTATAAAATAGCTCACTAGAATGTTTAAGCTTTCTAACTTAAGTAAGTTGCCTTTAGAGTAAGTTGGCTACTAATATATATATGCAAACTTATATAATATATATAATACAAATATCTAATTTATAATAACTTCTCACCCATTTCTTATACTCCTACCTATATGGCTTTAAGACAATGCTATCTTTAATCAAATATTTGATCCACCATTCTACCATAGTAAATGAAATTCTATCCTAGTATTTAATTTTTCATCATTACCTTGATTTAATACTAATATTATTATTACTAATATTATTATTAATAAAACTTTTATAATTATTATTATTATATTATTATTAATATTATTATTATTATTAAACTAATATAATTATTATTATTACAAAATAATACATTATATCATCATAATACTATATAACACAAATATAATACTTTACTTAACTAATAATGATTAATATAAGCATAACCAACAAATAAAATTATTAATAATAATACATGCATATTTACATGAACAAATTTACTATTTTAACATACACAATTAATTTACATGCACAATTAAATGAACCTAATATAATAATGTAGTATGCACAAATAAATAAAATTAATTAACCTAACACAAAATTAATTTAAATACATTCTTTAAAATTTCGGGGTATTACATTCTCCCCCCCTAATAAAGGAATTTCGTCCCCGAAATTCACTACATACCTGTATTAAAAAGTTCTGGATACTTGGCACGGATAATATCTTCCCGTTCCCAAGTAGACTCTGTAGCACTATGATGGCTCCACTGTACACGTACTAATGGAATAGTCTTCGTGCGCAGTATCTGATTCCTACGATCGAGAATACAGTAAGGTTGTTCCAAATAGGTTGCATCGGGTTGCAACTCAATCTCACCCACATCAATGTGTTGGTATCGATCTTCATCCCGTAGAAATTTTCGCAGCATAGATACATGAAAAACATTATGTACTCTATGAAGATTATCTGGTAGAGCCAGACGATAAGCTACTGCCCCAATCCGATCTGTAATCATAAAAGGACCCACAAAACGAGGCGATAACTTACCCTTTAACCCAAACCGCATTACTCCCTTCATAGGAGAAACCTTAAGCAAAACCTGATCACCAACCTTAAACTCCAAAGCACGAGTTCGACGGTCAGCATAACTTTTCTGTCTGCTTTGAGCTGTACGCATCCGATCCCTAATGATAGCGATATTTTCTGACGTGTCCTTAATAAATTCAGGACCCAAAAAGCTGTTCTCACCAACTCCAAGCCAACAGTTATCGTCCAGCTGTCAATGACGACGAAGTGTGGAAGCTCTGATCTGAGTCGTCATCGACTTCTCCTTCTTTGTTGTCTCAAGATGGGTTTTCGTTCTCCAAACTTTGGGGCTTTTCGAGCACTGGAGGGTCAAGATCGTCTAATAAGATGGATTTGAAGAAATCCAGAGAATAGAGAGATGGAGATATATATATATATATATATATATATACATATATATATATGTATATGCCGATATATATAAATACATATATGTAGTTTGGTTTTGATTTTTGGAACATCTGATGATGGAAACTGATAGTTATAGGTTTTGATCTTCTGATTGTTGTAGATTTTGTTGTATGCAGTTGGGGGGAGAGAGAGGATCTGTGAGAACGATGGAGGCGAATTAGGGAGGCTAAAATGATTTTGCCCTACTAAAAATACCAAAAACGGTAAAATGATAATTTTATTATTATCCTTTCCCTTCTTTTCTCTCCATTGTGCTATCCAAACAACAATATTACCAATTCTTTTCTTTTCTCTCCTATTTATCCAAATATGAATATAAATTATAACTATCCTTTCCTTTTCTTTCTTTTCTTTCTTTTCTTTTCTTTTCTCTTATAATCCTTTCCTTTTTTTTCCCTCCTGTGTATCCAAACGAAGCCTAAGAAAGAGGAGAGAGAGAGAAAGAAAGAAAGAAAGCGATTGACCAAGAAACACAGTCCAAAATCAACAGTCACAAATATATAAAATAAAATCACACTAATTTATAATAGGTGATGCAACCTTGCTGAGTCTCGTCTCTGAAAAAGTCCCAGTGGAACCTATCAATCTTCGAAACATTGTATTGAACCACTTATGATGCTTTGTCCATTAATTGTATTGGAGCTAGAATGTTAGACTTGCTTGTCTCGACAACACACCCATTCATCACCATTTCCTCCAGCATAAAATGTGCTTTCTCTAGATGGAACATGATGTCGAGCTCACACTGCAAAATTATGTGTACGGGCTATTAAATTAATATTTTATTAACTAATAGTATATTGATCAGATTTTCGGTTGCCAACATGTCAGAAGACTTACCACATTACCAAAATGGCGGTCCATCGTTTCTACTAACAGATGTATGAATTCCAGAATTGCAAGCTCATTCTGCAGAATGGAAGATGAGAGGAAAAAGGTAAAATTACTCTAAAAGAGAGACACCATATTGGCACCAATATAAGCATACACTAAATTTTCGGTCAGAAAGTGAATACTCCGTGTATTGAAAATATTTAGCAGGACTCCCTTGGGATCCAAGTCATTTAGAAAAAAAGGTCCTCAAGAAAAACAAGAGTCTATATCATCCAACTTTCACAGAAATGTTACATCTTAATTTTACTTTATCAAGGTGAAGATGCTAATTCACACTCACTTAAAGCATGTCTGAAACACAGTCAAGGACAGATGATAAACATCTTTGTCAGGCAGGTCACTTGAATAGATACTTGGTCCTTGTCATTGGAGGGATACCAACTTTAGAGGCATGTCAAGTACACAATCCTTTATGCACACAAAATCTTATTTCCATCACATTGCACACAACATAGACATCCTAGAAGAATAAACATTTTAAATTTCTGTATCATGTTTGATCTTTCTGCAAACAGCACCATTTCAAGATGAGAGAGAGAACAAAATACTTACTTCATCATTGTCAACTCCAACCAAGAAAAATAATGATGCATAGCGCCTATATACAATTTTGTAGTTCCGATGCTCGACGAATGAACACTGTTGTCATATAACAGAAAACATCATAAAACAACAACAAAAAGATTCACCAACACTTCAAAATTATATAGGGAACTCCGGTGATTAAAAGAAAGAAAAAAAAATGATAAACAAACTTCTACGGACTAAAATTAAATAAGGCAATAAACAAATACCAAGGGGAGTGAGTTGGGTAGCCTAGTTGGTAGAGGCACTAGCCTGAGTCTCATGTGGGAGCCCAGGTTCGACTCACCTCAACCTCCCCCTCCCCCCCTCCTTGCCAGGTAAAAAAAAAAAAGAAAAAAGAATAAACAAATACCAAGGAGGCTAGGACCTAGCCCAAGTGGTATCTCATCCTCCTTCCAAATGGAAGGTTGAGAGTTTGAGTCCCAATGGGATAATAATGGGCGCTGTGTGTGAAATTTACCAACCAAAAAAATAAAACGTTAATAATAAATGAAGAACTTAATATTGTTATGTTTAGCAGGAGGCTGTCACCTAGGTTTTAGGGAAAATATAATTCAGATGATTACAAGCAAAGAAAAAATGTAACATTGTAGCAGACAAACTTCAAAGGATTTAAATTAAGCAAGGCAATAAACAAACATGAAGAACTTAAAATGTTATGGGTAATCGATGATGCACAGTGTAGTTGTTACCTAGGTAGCTCCTATGTTAAATGGATTCTCCTATTTCCCTTCACGTACCTACGTCGACACAACACGATATGGGTGTCGGTACAAGATATTTGTCCGACACACAAACCCAATTCAGACACCCCAATCCTTCACATTTCATGATTTGGAGAAGAAGAAAAAACTCAGATTTCGATATATCTGCAACTTGATGTTTACATCATTATGTTCTAACACCTCATTAAAGCATAAGGTATCTTCATTTATTGCATATATGGTTAAAATTAAAACTTGATGTTTACATCATTATGTTCTAACACCTCATTAAAGAATAAGGTATCTTCATTTATTGCATACATGGTTAAAAGTAAAAAAAAAAACTAAAATTTCTAATTGAGGAGTTGAAGCAAATATCATAAAGGATAGCTTGATTACTTTTCCAACTCATCTCTGACATCTGAAGGCTAGGTCAACTACAAAAGAAGTCAACTCGAACAAAAGCTATTCGATTTGGTGACACTGTTTCATTTGGCGATCGAGGAGTCTGGTGTTCCTCATTCAAGTCATTCCCTAACCTCAACTTTAAAATAAGGATGAATGGATGAACCTTATTTATACAGACAAAGAACTGAACTTGAATTAGACAGAGAGGAAGGAAAAATAGGGGGCATGGCTAGTTTAGGTCCATCCACTTTGGTTTCCTCGGCCAAAATTGAGCATAACAACTGAATGCTTATAACCATGAAAAACAACAGTATCAAAATAATGTGAATCCAGTGGATAAGGGAGCTCCTATTGATCTTAATGAAATTCACTTTCAAAAAATCACTTTGAATGTGTCCACATTTTATAAATTTCATCTTAGACAGTAGCCATACTCCGCATATGGGTTCTCTAATGAAAATAGGCATGCTAAAGTGCAAGGTTCCAAATCACAAGTATTGTGTTTGGATTCTCTATCTTCTATACTATGGTGCATATAAAAAGTAAAAATAAAATAAAAAAGAGTAAGACCATACAGGAGTCGGACACTTCAATTTACACCATTTATTCCATAATACCCAAGTCGATCTCTTTTCAGTATTCCTATATTTATACTTCTCCTGGGACTTCTTCAGAGACCATAACTGATTCTTATTAAAATTTGCCTGTGTAGTTTTGGGGTCTCTTTTCCTGATACGTGAGAATATTATATACTTGCTCAAATTGGGAAGAATCTATTCCCATTTGAACTTATAAAATGCGTATCAATCTGAGGCTCATATCACACTAACAAAAATTGTGTTTGTGTTAACTCTTGGCATGGTAATTGAAATAGTCCATTGTATTAGACAATGCAATTGGAGCAATTTACATCAATTCAAATTAAGAGCAAAGATCTTTAAAACAATTTCCCCAAATCTTGATTTAGGGCTATTTAGTCAACTGGTTGGTGCATCAATCTTCGGATTTGACGAACTCAAATTGAAAATCTATGACAACATAATAACAAACGCATAGGCATATACACATACAAAACATACGATATGTATACATATATAATAGAGAGAGTGAAAATTGGGAAACCTGTTGCTCTGTTCGGGCGAGGCATTTGCGAACGATTTCGCCTTCGAGGGCTCGTCTTTCTTCAATAGTAAGGTATTCGTAGTATTGGGCAAGGCGGGTTTGCCCTTGCTTGTTCACCATCAATACGAATCTGATCCCCATCTTTGATCGACTGATCTAGTGAGAGAAACAGACAGAGTTAGAGAGAGAAAATACTTCGAATCGTTCACGGGAATTTTACTAGAGCCGAACCGGCAGAATGGAGGACCTACCCCTATTGGTTTATGGTTAGGCTGACAGCGTGTTACAAACCTACATTGATCCATGACTAATTTAAGTAACGCTAAATATTTAGGCTACCATTGTGACATTGTCTTGGTTGAAATTTTTATTTTTATTTTTATTTTTATTTTTTATATGTTTCAGTATTTGATAAAGATTTAGGTGAAGGTGAAATTCATGTGATGTGTAAAAATAATTTGATCAAATTTATGAATAAATTATTTTAAATAGATTTTAATATATTTTTTTATAAATATTTTAAAATAAACTAACACCAAAACAAAATAAAAAAATATTCTATATCTAAACAAACTAAGCATTAATTCAAGAAATAATTCACCATAATACACTGTCAAGTTGTATTTAATCATTTTAGAGGGTGAAGTCTAATAAAGTAATAATATAGTAAAAGTTATTTGTCAAGAAAAATAATAATAATAAGTCTTCCTTATGACCGCAAACAAACTTATTGTTGAATTTTTGAGTTCAAGCTCAATTTTACTGCTGTTTTTGGTATGTAGAAATGGAATGTTCATTTCAATTATTTATTTGTTTCAATTGTTTGGTGAATGACTATTTTATTAGAATAAAAATATATTACACAACTAAACTTATGAAATGACAATTCCATTTACAAGTAATTTTTTTTAAAAAAACAAGTTCCCAAAAAACCCTTACGTTCTAAGTTCAAAAACTACTACCACTGTCTTCCACCACCACCACCACCTTCCACCACAACCACCGCCACCATTGTTGCCGCTTTCAACCACCACACCACCGCCACCTCTACCATCACCAACCACCACCACCACCACCACCACCGTCTTCCACCACGACCACTTTCGACCACGACCACTTCCATGGCCTTCTACCGCCATCATTGCCACCACCACTGTCACTATTACTTCTACCATTGCCACCGTCCACCAGCACCACTTACACCATTGTCGCCTCCATAACTGCCACCACCTCCACCTCCACCACTACTGCCACAACCACCACCTCCATTGTCTTCCACCACCACTACAACCTTCCACCATTACCACCTACACTACTATCGCATTCCACCACCAACATTGTCAATGCCTTCTACCATCATCACTGACACCACTACCACCACTACTACCACCACCACCACTGCTACTGCCTTCCACCAATAGTACCACTACTACCTTCCATTGTCACCACCTACACCACTACCATTTTCCACCTCCACCACTGCCGCTATTTAAAAAAAAAAAAAAAATTACACAATAATGTTATTTTGTTAATGTAATTTATTTTTCACTAATAGTGGTATTTTGGAGAATTCAATTTGAAATTTATTTTATTCTAAATTTTAAATTGATCCAACCAAATACTAGAGTGGTTATTATCATTTCATTTCTACACATTTCATATTTGTAACCAAATAATTCATTTTCATTCTATTCTCACTTGTATTTTATTTCATTCATGCACACCAAACATAACATACTTATTTATTAATTTTGATCTCAAATTTGAACGCGAGCTATATAATTCAAATTTGAGATCAAATATTATTAACGATACAAATAACTATATATCCACCTAAATGTTGTGATTACTTACAATAATGGCTAGTTATTTTTTGATTTTTCTTTATTAAAAGTGCCCAAATCATCCATTTTTTGTGGATTGAAGTGAGTAATGTTATGAAATATCGTCTGTGTCTTTGCACAATTTCATATCAATTACTGTACTTAATTCTATATTTTGACCTCTTCTGTATCTCAGTGCCAAGTCAAGCGATATTGAGTGACTTAGACATGCCATATGATTGATATACTCAACTAATAAAAATTCACTATGCATACACAACTGTTATCCACAACTTGAATTGTTAGATTTTCGCCGGCCAGACAATACTAATGACAGTGGTATGCCTGGCTCACCATTACCTACTCGAAGCCAAGACACTTGAACTGCATAACATAGGTAAGTATAAAATACATAGTACAAACAATTTGATTGTTTTTATGCCACGCTTAAGCATTAAAAATCATACACCCTGTCCACAACATAGTAAGTGTCCAATATAATGAGCTTGTTTTCTGCATAAACTTAAAAAGGACACATAAAAACTTAGTATTGCTTTCTGCATAAACTTAAAAAGGATACATAAAAACTTAGTATTGCTTTCTACATAAACTTAAAAAGGACACATAAAAACTTCGTATTTCCTTAAATATAACAATACAAGAAGATCAATCACGTGGAAAGGAACTTAAGTGAGCTAATGACCAGATTGCAGTAACAGAAGCAATTTACTGAGCATTACAATGTCAAATTCTCAGCACAAAATCTCTTTGTTAACCAATTTGTCATCCGAACAATTATTATCCTCCAAAGACTGAGTAGGGGGTACTTCCTCTCTATCGGTATCGATGACATCTTTTGCAGTCAAAAAGCTCGGCTGATTAGTAGATGAAAGGAGCCTAGCCCACATCCTGTCCGTTATCACAACCTTGTTCTGTCTCTCATTAATTCGCTGCACATACACCATCAAAAAGCAGCCCCGGTCACATAACTAAAATTAATCATAAATTTCTTAATTTTTTTCTTTCTTGAAAGGTAAAATTAATCATGAATTTCTAGCGTTAAGATGACAACTAATCAAAATTGTTGCATGATCATCATAAATCACTCAGAACTTTTTATGACATTGAAAAATTAGACAATAAAGGGATCAATTTGATGCACTCATGTGAAATAAAAATTCAAATATTAGCAAAACCGGAAAACAAATCCCAAATATCAACTTACATAGAAGGGTATGTAAGAATGTCTGCCATTGACAAGTCCAACTGTAGAGCCTGTGTACCCAGCCATTGCTCCATGCACAGCACTTTGAGCAAGAAGTGTGCAGCAAACGTTATCAGATGCATTACTTGGAATAGCACGGATCATGTATGTAGGATCTGCCAAACAGCAATGTACAGAACTTGTTTGGATCAGCCATTTCCCAGTTTCTCATAGCCATGTATGAGAGAATCTTCTTATGAAAAATTGTGTAAGAAAACTTTAATATTACAAACCTATATATTTGAGATTGATGACCATCTTCTTTTGTTTTGAGAAATGATCCTGCAAATTAAAACCATTGATTCATCTCGAAGAGACTTGAAGTTACCTAAGAGTAACATGTAATTGGCGGGAATTTAATCATTAGGGAGTCTGAGGGTTTGGTGGATGTTGTGTGATATGATTCTTCAGGGAATTAACTTCTTCAATCATGAATAGAAAATAGTAATAAAACATTGCAATGTCCTTTCCCACCCTAAGTCTGTTAACTGATAGTAATTATTTAGAATGTTTAACAACTACAAATCTGTTAATTTCAGCAAGATTATGCAACATGGATAAAACTTTCTAAACTTAGTTTCAAGGCACAAATCTGGACACTACATGTTTGTGTGCACACGCATGAGCTCCCGTGTTCAAACAAGTACTTGCACGCACCAGCATATCAAGCAAACGCATTCACTTAAGAAGGTAGATTGGAATCCATACCTTGATCCTGTGAGATATCCACAGCCCAACATCATGGAGAAGCTTGTTTCCTGAAGCATCCTTCTGATCACTATGACGCAAACTCTCAGAAAGCATCTCTTGCCCTGCACCTTCAGCTATGACAATAACCATGTGCCCATGTTCTTTGAGTCGTTTCTCTATATATTCAAAAAGTCCACCTGCTCCTTCCAGATAAAAGGGTGACTCCGGAATCAAGCAACAGTCAACATCCCGGCTGCCAAGAGTAGCATACATTGCAATAAACCCTGCAAAATCAAGTCCAATATGAATTGTTAAAAGATCAGGGTAAATTTAGAACAGTAATTATGAATAGAAAAATTGCAATCGATTATATTTTGTCAGTGACATAGATCCTGCAATTTGTATCCACGAATTTTGAAGCAATTTTCCAGCTCAAATTATAGCTATCCTGGCCTTCTCTACTATTCTATCAAGTCTAACAAAATATATCAAGGAATGACATGCTGGAGAGTAGAGAAATCACGTTTAGGAGGTGGACAAAACAGAGGATAGCATATATATTGGTGTCAAGCTTTTACCACTGTAGCGACCCATTAATTTCACAAGACCAATGCCATTCTCAATGCTTTCAGATTCAACATGTGCAGCGGCAATGGCACGTTGAGCTTCCTCGACAGCAGTATCAAAGCCGAATGACTTGTCAATAACCTGTAACAACAAGAGACACAATTTATGTTTAACGAATTTGAGAATTGGGTTGGCTTTTGTAATAATTAAGGGTGATATTGAACTCGGTAACAATCTATCATTATGCCTGCCATGAGACATACCGGAATGTCATTATCAATGGTTTTGGGAATACCAGCAACTACAACTTTGAGCTCACGCCTTCTAATTTCCTGCATGATAGAGAACAAGAAGACAATTAATTCTACAAATTAAGATCTCAAAGAATGGGAAACTCAAGGAAATAAAAGATTGTTATGCAGCATATCTCGCTAGCAATGAGTGGAATTTTTTAAAATTAAATATACCTCATAAATAACAGATGCCCCTTGCTGAGTTCCATCTCCTCCAATAATGTAAACCTGATTTATATAGAATCCAAAAATTAATCCGAAGGTGGGGTTTGTTTTGGTTATAACAAATGCAAATAAATAAATCTTGACCAATGATTCAGTCATTACAAATTAGAAACAGTAAACTCATATCCTCAATGTACCTGATTTATACCGCGGTCCTGAATGCTGTCGACTATCTTTGTAGTATCATAGCCACCTCTTGAAGTCCCAAGAATGGTTCCACCGCGTTTATGGATATCATTTACAACCTTGGGTGTTAAAGGGATTGTATTTCGAGAATAGAAACCCTTATATCCTCCCTACAGATGAAGCACTTTTATTACTTGGTGATGTCACCACATTATGTTGTAGAGACTTATTTGTGCATTTCTTCTTGAAGGAAGACAATATGGATGAACCCATCCACAACTCTGTCTTAAGATAGAGTCATTTAGAAAAATCAAACTTGAAGTAGAATAAAATTTAGAAAAGCAGACAGCATAACAAAATCTAAAGAACTTGCAGTTCCCACATTTAGTGTTAAAATGATTGTGTAATGAAATCCAATAAAAAAACATCACACATTTGTCTTAAAAGTAACGCTTGTACATATCTATGAATGGTTATCTAGGGAAATGTTGGTTCAAGATCAACAACATATGTTCAAGACTTGTTTTAAGTAGAGAGAAAAATGCAGATGATCTTTGGATTTGCAGGATCCTGGAAGCCTCACATTGATTTTTTGTTTTTCACAGCAAATTCACTTGCCGTTTGCTTTGAAAAGCAAGAACAGTATCCAAATGCCAACCAAGGGAAGTATACCCATAAGTACAATTTTTAGATCAAGGGAAGTCTACCATTAAGTAGATTATTTTGAAAATAAACTGCATGAAAAGGCATTGAATTGGAGGTTGTAATACGTTACACTTACATCTATTCCCAGAACCTTCTTTACACCATACATGTGGAAAAGGCCGCATACTAACTCCCTAATCACTGTGTTGAGACCAGGGCATAAGCCCCCACATGTAACAATGCATGCGTGTACTTCATCCGACTCAAAATACACCTGAGAAAACATGAATGAGTGTCAATATCAGCCACTTGGTGTCTCGTAATTCTGAACAGAGCAAGTCTATCATAATTCATAAGGGCATGAGCCCAAAGACAGCACCTTTATTGTAGGTTTTCCCATTTAAATGTTACGCATAAGGCACATAACATGCTTATGCTTACCTTTTGACGTGGTCCAGCGCGTCGGAAATGTGTCCCTCTTGGACTGTTCTTGTGAACAACAACCTACAAATGAAGGAACCAAAACTTAGAAACATAGATTATGGTAGCTTTTCGTGTCAATAAGAGCCCATACACCCTGCTACCTCCAACAAATGATAAAATGTGGTGGTTGAAGTTCATCTTTTGATAATTTCCGGAACGAGAGGGCACTCAAACCTGGCCTTGGAAATGCAGGCACCAACATCTTTAGGTAAAAATTGGCCATTAAGACTAATGTTTTGGTATCACTCTCCATATTCAAATGACTACAGTAGCATAAATGTCCAGGCAGACCCTCACCAGGCACAATTACTCTCAAACATAAATCTAAAATGAAAGTAATTACAATAAGATCTCTTTTTACCTGATGAGCCTAGGGGAAAAATAACAAATAAAACCCAAGTCCTTAAAAAAGAAAGGGAAAAGAAAAGACCTTTTGTGCAACAGTGTCGTCGTCATGGACAAAATATTGCCTGGAGAAGCAGAAATTTGTTCATCAATGAAAACGAAAATACTTTAAAGCATGTGAAACCACTGTAAGAGAAACTAAATCACTTACTTGACAACTGAGTATGCAGGATTGTCTTGCAACGGGTTTGGATAAGTCTGCAAAAGAGGCAAATCAGGGACAACCACTTCAAACAATTCTCATATCACTAGCAATAAATTTTCTTTACGTCAGCAAACATTCATTTAAAAATACAAAATCAACTCAATCAAGTAATCCTATTAAAGTTACTTTTATTTAATTGTGACCAGATTTGTCTGACCCAATTTTGGATAGGAAAGCAGTAATAATTTATAAAATCATGGTCGGTAAACATACGGACTTTAATGCTCCACCTGGCCGATTCACACAAACCAATTCAACAAACAGTGCCTAATACAATTATTGGGGGAGGAGAGTCTTCACAATCCGATGGAAACTAAAACAACACGTAACAGAAGATTAAAAATTTCCTTCAGTTTCCTGAGTTTACTCGGCAGCCAAACAGAGGTCAAATTCCTTTCTACTAATAGCAAGACGCTGGGCAATTCTATGAAAAATAAAATAACACGGAACAGGACATTGAAAACATTTCCTTTCCTTTTCGCAGTTTTTAAGCAGCCAAACAATGGGTGAAAATTCATTGCTCCTAATTACAACACGCCAAAGTAACCTTAATCTCCATAAAAGAGGAAAACTACTGTGGAATCGCAAAAATCAAAGCAGTTTCTGGGTTTACAATCAAAGATAGGTATGATTCAACACAGACACATATATACGTATGTATATACATTGAAGCTGTCAGCTTTATACCAAAAAACACACACACACACACACAGAAAAAGCCCGCTTACAGAAAGATCAGGAATGTAATCAGACAAATGAGGGACGTCTTCGAGGACGTAACCAGCATCGCCGGTGACGATCTTTTGCTGAGAGTTGCCGGAGAGTGCCATCGCGTTTCGTGAAGAGAAGAACCTCGCAAATAAAACAGTTACTAGAACTAATAATTCCAAGTCATTGGCTTGGGATCAGAAGGATCTGAGCCAAGCAAATTCAAAGCACAAGTTGAAGACGAACTATACATATTGAATCAAACTCGACAATACAACATGAGTTGGTTTAAGAAATTGACGATATATTCAGATATATAGCCATTATATATATATATATATATATATATATATATATGTATGTATGTGTACTGTTTCTAAATATAGAGCATGACAAGACGATGCAGTACTGAAGTAAAAAGTTACCCCTTGCCCAAGTTTTTCTTAAATTTGTTGGGTTGTATATGTATATATATATAAACAGCTGGCGTGAATTTTCTTGCTTTTGCTTTCTAGTTCTTGATGGATAGCGACGTTAGAAAATTTTGGCACAACAGTTCACAGAAACTTGGAGAAGAAATTTACCCCAAATAAATAAATAAAATAAAATAATTGAAAGCTTGAAATCCATATAAAAGTTCGATGAAAATAAAGTAAATTGTAAAGCTATATACCAAATTTGTTATTATTATTTTTAAATTTGTCCTTAAAGAAGGAGAAAAACTTAGTTGCCCCAATTATATTAGTCAAGTGATATCAAAATAAAATTACAATCTTTGAAAATTATATATCCAATTTAACCTCTTTCATAAATAACAGATTTATAATGTTAACATGAATCTCAAATTTAGATTTGTTTAACGTAATCACTTGAAGTTTTTCACTATAAATAGTAATAGTATAAAAGTAAAAAAAATAACAATTTTTCTTATTTTTATAAAGGTTTTGAAAAAAACAATTGCTTTTTAAATTTTCAAAATGGTAAGAAAAATTGATAGGGGTTTTGCTTTTTGTATTTTTTGGTATTATGTAAAATACGTATACAATTAAAATGTTTGTTATGAGGTCATTGATACTCTCACGTGGTGGCTAAAAAAAATGAGTTGACAAATTCACGCATGATCGAGTGACACCCCATGACAATGGCCCAATAAGCATGGTCACCTGTTTGGAATTTAATACTACTTTCCATTTTTCAGCAATGAAATAATTGTAGTTGATTGGAATATTCTTGGTTCCGTGGTTTTTATTCTTTTTTATTTTTTATTTATTGATTTTGTTTTGATTTTCTTTCTCTTTTGATTGGTCCAAATCAGAAATAGAAATGAATTAACTGAGTAAGTCAGAAGTTATTTATAAGAATGAGTTTAAATGCAATTTATAGAAAAAAATTATTAATTCGCAAGTAAGAACATCTCTAACAGTGTCTTAAAAAGTTTTTTTTTTTTCCCTCTTTACCTTCCTTCCTCTTGTCTGGAAAATAAAAATAAATTTGTTTTTGGATAAATTAAGGACTTGCTATAAAAAATATAATTAAAGTATAGTCAAAGTCTATGGTGTATTTTTTTCTCTTAAAATTAAAGGTTGAGTCTCTCCAAGTGAATTGTGAAGGTTATTTGTCATGATAAATAATATAAAATAAAATAATAATAATAATAGAGTTAAGGTCAAAGGTTAAATTAATTTTAAAAGAGAGAACGGCAAAAGTTAAATTATAGTTCACTATCATACGTAAATTAACGAGTTGCATGTCACATCATGTGTTCATTATATACGTGTATTATCAACCCAACTTAGACATGAAAAGCCCAAATGAGTCTAATTAATGGGCTTTGTGTTTTTTAATTTGACATGTTGAATGTTTTGCTCAACCAACACGCGTAGCACAGAGGAAGCCATGAGTCCCTTTCTTTCTTTATTCCTAAAAGGAAAATCGTGAAGACATGGAGAAGGTAAAAACTCACAGGCATTACGTGAGGTGTAAAATAAAAGAAATTCAAAGTCAAAACTTAAAACAGACATGAGCCACGAGATTCATACCATGGTTGGTGGACTCATCTATTAAGCACTTACTTTCTGTAGTGAGAATGTGACATTATATATATATATATATATATATTATTTTGCATGACTCTTGTGTAATAAAATTGAGAATAAAAAAATTGTGATTCACAATCCACTATTGTACTATGGATTTTAAATTCCTTGCTAGGGTAAAAAAATAAAATTATTGGAGTATAACAGCATTCATTCCTTCGTGGAGTTTTGAGAGTTTATTTTATTTTATTTATTTTTATTTTTTATATATAAATGAAAGTTTTTTAAAAATATAATTAAGTAAAGGTCAGAGTATTTTCATTTATTTATTTTTTTTGTTTGATGATAGATGATGATGTGGGGATTCATAGAGCACCCTACCTTCTCAGTGTATACTTATGTCACTACAAAAAAAAAAACAGTTTTTTATCATGGCTGAAAACGTTTTAAATCACGATTTTGAACCGTAGTGGTAACGACCGTGATAGTAAATTGACAATTTTCTACTATAGTTCTACACTGTAGTAGAAAGTGAGTTTTCTACCACGCTGTTGGACCGTAATTGAGGAGGCCCCGGATGACATGGGCCAGGTCCGACTCGCAAAACACAACCTTCAGTCCGAACAGCTGGGTCAGCCCATAGAAAGACACTGCCATATGGGCCGAGCGGGAGTAAGCCCATCAAGGGTGACCAGGGCTTACAGAGGAATAGGCCCAGGTCCAGCAATTAGTAAATATCTTGTAAATATCTTGTAAATATCTTGTAAGTATCTATAAATAGGAGTTGGAATGAAGAGGAGAGGGATCTTTTTCGGGTTGAGGTGTAAGAATTCTAGAGAGAGAAAGAATAGAAGGAGTTTCTTGCATCTTCAATTGGCGCCGTCTGTGGGAAACGCATGAAAGTTTGGTTGATCAATGAGGAGTATCGAATGGATTCAAACCAATTCGGTTGATCGAGACTCGATCTTGCGGATTTGAATCCAGATCTGAGCGATTGTGACCTACTCTGGAGGAATTACGATTCTTGAAGCTTTGGCAGGAGTGACTTCAGATCTACGCAACCACGAGTTGCTCGATTGTGGCAGGATCTGACGGATTTAGAGTTCAGACAATTCAGATCTTGTAAACAGTGAGCATAATTCGGAGAATTAGAAGCCAGATCTAAAAATTCCTACTCACGAAGCTCAGATCTACTCGCGAACTTGAGATTAATGCCTTTACTCCGTTCGGGAATAATGATAGGTGAAAGCTCCAATCCGATGGAGGCTGTCCAGCAAACAAAGCTTGAAGAGTTGATGAACTTGATTGAAGCTCTCAGAAAAGAAAATGCAGAATTGAAAGCTGGACTGCAGCATCGGCAAATACCTGCAGTTTCGCATCCGCTTCCGGTCGGAGAAGGAGGTGTTCCATCTAGTATCGCGCATCAAGGCGATCAGAACGAGAACAATCAGTCAGCTCACCACCGTGATGAAAGGATGATGGACAATTTGCCGCCAAATGTTCGTCGAGTTGAAGATCACGAAGGATCGACTCACGTTGATCCGCAGCGGGAAAGGTTTGACCGAGAGGAAGTGATGGAGGTAGATCGCCGTCGAGTAGCGTCGCCTTGGCAGAGAGAGTTCATAGAGGAACGGTCGTTCGATCCGTCTTACCGGCCCTCCATGGTTACTGTCACTCATCACGGTTCGGAGGGCAGAACCGTAACTCACAGAGCTACCGCTGGACTCCAGAGAGAGAATGAAGCTCTCCGATCCGCAGCTCGGACGGTGGATTCACCATTCACCGACGAGATCTTGAATGCGCCGCATCCAAGGAAGTTTGCTATGCCAGTCTTTATTCTGTTTGACGGAACAACCGATCCGATCGATCATGTGTATCATATCCAGTTGAAAATGGCCCTGAATACGGAAAACGACTCTTTAATGTGCAAATGTTTCCCTACAAGCCTGGCCGGACCGGCGCTCAGCTGGTTCAAAAACTTGCCTAGGAGCTCCATTGGCAGTTTCAGGGACCTGTGCGATCGGTTCATAAGCCAGTACCATGGGAACAAACGCCCGCCGAAGGACATCTCGAGCCTGTTCACGATGCGGCAACACAAGGATGAACGGCTCCAGGCCTTTCTTACCAGGTTTAATCTCACTAAGAGTATGGTAATCGAATGCCATCCTTCTACGGCAGTTCAAGCCTTCAAGTTAGCCATGACACGCGGAACTCCGTTTCACACCAGTCTGGTAGTGAATACGCCAGCTACCATGGATGAACTCAATGAGAGAGCCGATGGCTTTGTACGCCTCGAAGAAGAGGAGGCAGCTAATGCTCGGACAACGTCGCTTGTGTCGACCGAGGAAAAGTCCAAGGCAAAGATCAGGCAGAAGCAGGCTCAGCCGCAACGTCAGACCACTTGGAAGGCCGAAAAAAGGTCCAGGGAGGAAGAGTTGATTACTCCGCTGAAGGTCACTCTGGCGAGGTTGTATCAGGAGAACAAGGACAAGTTTCATCCACCACTGCCAATTAGACAACCCCTCGAACAGAGGGATCAAACTAAACATTGTGCTTTTCATTCTGATTTCGGACATCAGACTAACGAATGCAGGAACCTGAGGAGGCAAGTGGAGATGTTGATAGCTAGAGGGGAGTTTGCGAGTTATGTTCAAGGCTCGGCGATGGAGCAGAATCGACCAGTGGAACAAATAAAAAGGAGTCATAAACAAAGCTCCCACAATTCGCAACCAGTTCGTATAATCAATGCTATCCATGGTCGACCCGAGCCTAGTGAAGAGTCAGATGAGCTGCTACGGGTGCGCCTGCGGCAGGCGCAGATGAAGAAAAGGGTCGGCAATGTGACCACTCTACACCAGCAGAGCCCGTCAATGCAGATAAAGTTCGACTGGACAGACCTGCAGCGTGTTCAACTGCCTCATGACGACCCGTTGGTAGTCAGTTTGACAGTGGCAGATTGCTTGGTGCGCAGAGTTCTGATCGATCCCGGGAGCAGTGCGAATGTTATGCCGAGGGACACATTTGACAGGCTCGACATTAAACCAGAGAGGCTCAAGCCCACCGGAAATCCCTTATTAGGGTTCGATGGGAAGAGGGTGGAACCCGTCGGGATGGTGGAAGTAGAAGTTCAAGCTGCAGAGCGAGCTCTTATGGAAACTTTTGTGGTTGTGGAAATTCACCCCTCGTATAATCTCCTGATGGGAAGAGGATGGATTCACAGAGTCCGAGGTGTACCCTCAACTCTGCATCAGGTCATGAGGTGCCTCGGGCCCGATGGAGATAAAGTGATAGACATTCGGGGGGATCAGGTCGCAGCCAAAGAGTGTTATTCCGTCACACTAAAGCATGCTGGGAAAGGAAAGGCGCCCGTCCGGTCGACAAGCCCCAGATA